GTTTAGGGCTTCATCATCTGCTTAGGTTTGAGTTGAGGGTTTGTGTAGGAATAGTTCCCGAAAGCATCGCGAAGGGTTCTTCCGTGCGGAGCCCCCTGACACAACAACATAGACTGAAGTGCATAGAGTGAAGTGCATAGAGTGAAGTGCATAGAGTGAAGTGCATAGAGTGAAGTGCATAGAGTGAAGTGCATAGAGTGAAGTGCATAGAGTGAAGTGCATAGAGCGAAGTGCATAGAGTGAAGTGCATAGAGCGAAGTGCATAGAGTGAAGCGCATAGAGCAAAGTGCATAGAGTGAAGTGCATAGAGGCAAGTGCACAGAGTGAAGTGCACAGAGTGAAGTGCAGTGAAGTGCATAGAGTGAAGTGCATAGAGTGAAGTGCATAGAGTGAAGTGCATAGAGTGAAGTGCATAGAGGGAAGTGCATAGAGTGAATTGCATAGAGTGAATTGCATAGAGCTTTAGTAATCAGTGAATACAAATTTCTAGATTTACGTAGAATTTACTAGACCTTCGTACCCAGTCCTAGATTTCTAAATTAAAATTACTCTTTCTAAGGCGGCGGGCTTGGTTGACATCGCCAATCGGGATTGCAACCCTCTGCGGGTTTCGGCGTGGTCGCGGTGCTAAAACCGTCGTTTTTTTTTTACGTTTCTTGATTTGCGCGGACAACCCTCTGCGGGTTTCGGCGTGGTCGCGGTGCCAAAACCGTCGTTTTGTTTTACGTTTCTTTGTGGCCGCGGACAACCCTCTGCGGGTTTCGGCGTGGTCGCGGTGCTAAAACCGTCGTTTTTTTTACGTTTCTTTGTGTCTATCTGGGCGCCTGAAAAACACCGCAAATAGCATGGTAACGGACATCTGGGCGCTTGAAAAACACCGCAAATAGCACGGTAACCGACATCTGGGAGCTTGAAAACACCGCAAATAGCATGGTAACGGACTTCCGCGCGCGTGAAGACACGGGGATGTTTTTGTCTTTTGCTGGTTGTTCCAAAGCCATCGCAAATACCATGGTCACCGAATTCGCTGGTTCCAAAACCATCGATGGCAAATACCATGGTCCTCGAATTCGCTGTTTCCAAAACCATCGCAAACACCATGGTCCCCGTATTCGCTGGTTCCAAAACCATCGCAAATACCATGGTCCCCGAATTCGCTGGTTCCAAAAACCATCGCGAAAACCATGGTCCCCGAATTCGCTCTTCCAAAAGCATCGCAAATACCATGGTCCCCGAATTCGCTGGCTCCAAAACCATCGCAAATACCATGGTCCCCGAATTCACGGACATGTGGGACTCGAATTCCGGGACGTCCAAGCCATCGCAAATATCGTGGGACTCGAATTCCTCGAAAAACTCGCAAATTTCGTGGGACTCGAATTCCGGGGCCTCGAAAACCTCGCAAATATCGCGGGACTCGAATTCCGGGATGTCGAAACCATCGCAAATATCGTGGGACCCGAATTCCTCGAAACCCTTGCAAATATCGTGGGACTCGAATTCCGGGGCCTCGAAAACCTCGCAAATATCGTGGGACTCGAATTCCGGGATGTCGAAACCATCGCAAATATCGTGGGACTCGAATTCCTCGAAAAACTCGCAAATATCATGGACTCGAATTCCGGGGCCTCGAAAACCTCGTAAATATCGTGGTTCCAAAACCATCGCAAGTACCATGGTCGCCGAATTCGCTGGTTCCAAAACCATCGCAAATAGCATGGTCCCCGAATTCGCTGGTTCCAAAACATGCCTGGAAAGTCGACTTTTGTAGTACAAACGCATTACACCGTGGAAGCATCGGAGCTCGGCGTTGTAATCAATGCCGATGAAGTGTATAGAGTTGACCACAAGTGCATGGCATTCAACTCCACACACTTGAATGCCATGCAGTTCAAGTGCATACACGTCCAGTAGACAAGTGCAGTGCACAAGTGACTATGCAACCATGTAAGTGCATACATTTGTCCAAGTGCATACACTTCGGCTGCAAAGAGTCAACTGCATGGAGCCAACGCACGGCAAATCGATGCTTTCGGGCCATCCCTCTTCTAGTTTTTTTTGGTTTAGGGTTTAGGGCTGAGAACCTAGGGCTTAGGGTTTAGGGTTTTGGGGTTTGGGGTGTAGGGTTTCGGAGTTTGAGGTGTTGGGGAAATAGGGTTTAGGGCTATCTGTAAATCAGGTAGGTTTAGGGTAAGGAAATGGGTGGTGTTGGAAGGGGGAATAAAGGGTTCCGCCGCGTCAGCAGTCCCTGGTATCCCCCTGTGTATCCCCCCTACCTGAAACCCCCCCCCCCATTCCCTCACCCTCACCCCCCCCCCCCTCATGCCCTAAACTCTATACCCTTAAGCCCCAAACCCTAAGACCTGCAACCCTGAACAGACCCTTAAGACCCTTAAAACCCTTTCAAACCCCATGCAAAACCCACAAAACCTTGAAAACCCTAAGCCCCAAAAGCTCCACAACCCTAAAACCCTAAAGCCCTAAAGCCCTCAAACCCCTAAGCCTTAAAACCCCACCCACCCCAACCACAGGGACCACAAGGGGGGGGGGGAGGGAACTGAAGTCTAGCAGAGGACACGGAGCCCAAGAAGTTTGTTCGCCGCAGGGCGCAAGAAGCCAAGGAGACCAGAGGTTCATTAGTCGGAGGACACGGCCATCCCGGAAGCTCCCGATTGGAGCTATTTGCCTGGCCCCTTCTTCCGCTGTCCAGCTTGGAACAACGCTTCTGCTCGACGGGAGACGTACTGGAGCAAAAGGCAGAAGCGAGATGGCGTGGGCCGTCTGCACGCGTCGGAAAGCCGACGGCAGGTACTGCAGTTTCAAGCTGATTCACCCGCAAGATGACAGCGATTACAGGCAGACTTGATCAGTTGTCTCCAACTGGCCTGGGGTTTTAGGTAGGCCCCTTGGGAATTTCACATGTGGGTTTAAGCGGATCATACTTCTGACCAGTTTTTCAGGCGATTTACCGAAAGGTTAATGGTGGCGAAGGTTTGCTTCGTACCAAAGCCTGAACCCAAACCCTGAAATCCCTAAGGCCCGAAAATCCCACGTCCTACAGACCCTAAATTCCCAGGATCCTTTTTCGCAAGTTCCCTTTCCACCTGCGTGCGCTCCTTTTTGTCGCACAACCCTTCGTGCCCCAAATGTCAACAAGCGTGCCTGGGATCTTCCCAAAACCCGATACTCCGGAACCCTAAGCCTTACGCCCTAAACCCCTAAACCCCTCCACCCTAAACCCCGGTTCCTGAAAGCCTAAACCCCGGAACCCTAAACCCTAAACCCCGGAACCCTAAACTACACCTCTTCGCGTCCGAGTTTATCGATGGGTTCAAGCCCGGCCAGCGGAAAATCATCTTCGCCACCTTCAAGCGGAACCTGAGGACCCGGAGGGTTGAGGGTTCAGGGCTTGATTCGGCTTAGGGTTTAGGGTTTAGGGTTTAGGGTTTAGGGTTTAGGGTTTAGGGTTTAGGGTTTAGGGTTTAGGGTTTAGGGCCTGGGGCTTAGGGCGTAAGGCTTGGGGTTTAGGCCACGGGGACCGAGGCTTCATAATCTGCAACCAACAACAGCAAGCCGTAGCTTCTTAGGGTTTAGGGTTTAGGGTTTAGGGTTTAGGGTTTAGGGTTTAGGGTTTAGGGTTTAGGGTTTATTCGGCTTAGCGGCGGACAGGTTAGGCGTAGTAAAGAAGTACCTTGAAGAAGCATCAGATTTAGGATTTGTCATGTTTTCAATTTCAGTTGTCACAACCTACCTAAGGGGTTTGGGATGAACTAAGCCGTTGGTGTTTTGGTCTTTCCTGGGGCAGGTTCTTCTGTGACGCAGCAGGACCAAGGGATACTACATGTGGGAAGACCGAACCCCGAAGCCCGTAAACCCTAAACCCTAAACCCTAAACCCTAAACCGGAATCCTTCTGCCCTGAGAAGCTCAAGCTTAAGGTACGGCTCAAGCTCTAGTAATTACCCCCCAAAACCCTCAACTCCTAAACCCTAAACCCTCAAGGCCTAAATGCCGCTCAGAGCACCTGCACGCAAGTGCAGCCGGCAGACCCCGGTAGGGTTTTAAACCCTATAAGCCTCTTTCCCCAAACTCCCCAAACACCCTGCAACAAAGCAGCCCAAGATGAATTAGGCCCTGAACCTTGTTCGGTTTTGGGGTTTAGGGTTAGGCTTTAGGGTTCATGTAGGGTACCTCATTCTCTATAATTCCCCTTCAAGAACCACCCGAATCCCTAAACCCTAAACTCTGAACCCTGAACCCTAAACTCTGAACCCTAAACCCTAAACCCTAAACCAGTCAGCCAGTGCCAGGGCCGATGTTAAGGTGGCCCAGCTGGCCCGGGGCTCATCTGGACACTAGAGGCTTTTCAGGGATTGGTTTAGGGTTTAAAGTTTAGGGTTTAGGGTTCAAGGTTTACGTTTTCAGGGTTTCAGGGTTTAGGGTTAAGGTTTCAGGGTTTCAGGGTTTCAGGGTTTCGGATTTAGGGTTTAGGGTTTAGGGTTTGGGAGTTTTGCGTATGGGGTTCTGGGGTTTAGGGTTTTGGGTCTTGGGTTTAGGGTTTAGGGTTTAGGTTTCAGGGTTTCAGGGTTCAGGGTTTCAGGGTTTCAGGGGTTTAGGGTTTTTGGTTTAGGGTTTACGGTTTAGGGTTAAGGTTTGAGGGTTTCAGGGTTTCAGGGTTTCGGGTTTAGGGTTGGGGGGTTTTGGGTATGGGATATTGGGGTTTAGGGTTTAGGGTTTAGGGTTTAGGGTTTAGGGTTTAGGTTCAAGGTTTCAGGGTTTTATAAGACCCTTTAAACCAGAAAGGGCACACTGTGTATTCCTAGGTTGACTCAGGGTGACGCAGACCGCAGGTGCGACGCATTCCGATTGCCCCCCCCGCATCATGTCGGTCACTGTGCAGGTCGCCCTCTTAAGCGGCAGGGCTTTACATCTTGAAGCCGAGCTGGATTCAACTATAGATACGTTCAAGCGGAAGGTTCAGACGGCTTTTACAACCGACAGGGGGAGGCTACTGGACTCTGCATGTCGTGTGCTGGATGTCAGCGCAACCGTCCGAGAATGTGGACTCCATCCTGGTGTCTTACTAACCTGGCACGTGGGCCGTGTTCAAGTAGCAGCGAACTTCAACGCTGCCGCAGCCATCCTGAGTGATGGCGCTGTTGCAACTTGGGGCCATCCGAACTATGGTGGTGATAGCAGCTCCGTGCAAGAGCGGCTTAAGCATGTGCGGCAAATCCATTCTCGGTGTCTGTCGTTTGCTGCAATTTTGGACGATGGCTCGGTCGTGGCCTGGGGCAATCCTAGATTCGGCGGTAACTGTGACCATGTACAACATGAGCTGAGGAACGTGCAACACGTCCAAGGCTCTTACGGGGCCTTTGCTGCAACACGGGGTGATGGGTCCGTCGTCACTTGGGGGAACCCAGACAGGGGTGGTGACAGCACTCTGGTGCAGAGGGAGCTCAAGAATGTGAAGCACATTCAGGCTACCTTAGTAGCTGAGCAAGTAACCTTTTACCTTTCGGGATATAGAAGCCTAACATAGCCTAACCATAATTGAGCAGTTAACCTTTGTGGGCCCAGGGTACTCAGCAGCTAGGCTTCTTACGACGCGTTTGCCGCCATCCTGGGTGATGGAACGGTCGTGACTTGGGGCGACGCGGATGCGGGGGGTGACTCTACGGCGGTGCAGGACCAGCTAAAGGGCGTGCAGTGCATCCAAGCAACTCACCGAGCCTTTGCCGCCATCTTGGAGGATGGATCTGTCGTAACATGGGGGAGTGAGGATTTTGGTGGCGGCAGCCGGGCCGTGCAAGACCAGTTGAAGAAGGTGCAGCATATCCAAGCCACTCACCGAGCTTTTGCCGCCATCTTGGCCGATGGATCTGTCATCACCTGGGGCGGGTCAGATTCCAGGTAGGACCCTGGGATGTTTTTAAAGTGGACCTGTTTTCATTAATATTGGCCTTGCCAGGGGATCTGACTTGGAAGGTTTTGGAGCCTAGGAATCCGGTGGTGTCTCCACAGACGTTCAAAGCCAACTGCAGAGCGTGTGCCACATCCAAGCATCTTCTGCTGCATTTGCCGCGATCCTTAGCGATGGGAAGGTCGTCACCTGGGGTGATCCTGCTTGGGGAGGTACGGGCTGTCGAAAACAGTCGAGTCCACTCGATACTCCCAGTAGGTTCCATCATGTACAAGGCCCCTCCCCATCAGTCCATTTAGATTCCCCTAGTATTGCCGCCGCCCTAAACCCTAAACCCTAAACCCTAAACCCTAAACCCTAAACCCTAAACCCTACAGGTGACAGCCGCTCCGTGCAAGATCAGCTGCGCCATGTGCGTGAAGTTCAGTCCTCCCTCGGTGCTTTTGCCGCGATCCGCAGCGACGGGTCTGTCGTGGTGTGGGGCAGCCCTATGTTTGGCGGTGATGCTGCTCATGTTCAAGATCAGCTGAAGAATGTCCACCATATCCAGGCTACAGACAGCGCCTTTGCCGCGATCCTGCATGATGGCTCCGTGGTATCCTGGGGGGACCCCGAGGGGGCTGCCTGGGGAGATGCAGATGCTGGGGGCGACAGCTCCGCGGTACAAAGTCAGCTGACGGGCGTGCAGCTTCGCAGCCCAGTGGCACCCTTTTCCCTTTTTTTGGTTCAAGGCTCCCTGCCAAAGTAAGCAACCCCACGAAAGGTACCCTTCTTTTCGTGTGGGCTACCAAGGCAGCCGGCTAAAGTAAGCAAGCCCACAAAGGGTTTAGGGTTTAGGGTTTAGGGTTTAGGGTTTAGGGTGGTTGCGGGGCCACCAAGGCAGCAAATCCAGGCCTCTCAGGCAGCTTTCGCTGCGATTCTTCGCGACGGGTCCGTGGTGACCTGGGGGGACGCCGGGAATGGCGGAGACAGCAGCGCAGCGCCTTACTCCGCGTCTCAAAGTATCATAGTTGTTTCTCTCATGTGTGGCCATGCCTCGTTTCTGACACTCTTCAGCCTAGCGCAAGCAGAGTAAAGCTGCCACGGAGTCCATCTTCCTTTTGGGGGTTTAGGCTTAAGGGTTTAGCGTTTAGGGTTTAGGGTCTAGGGCCAAGAAGACAGCCAAGGTACAAAGTCAGCTCAGGGAGCCACGTGCTTCGAGGCTCCAGACGCCCCCGATGTCGAATGCTTAAGTGACAAGATGGCGTGCGCTGCCTAAACCCTGGCCCTAAACCCTAAACCCTAAACCCTCAACCCGAAACCCTAGACCCTAAACCCTAAAAAACATCCCAAGACCTTGAGAAGTTCTCACTAAAGCTTACACCCACCCCCAAAAACGAAGGTTGGACCCAGAAAAAGCCCTTATTCCCCTTTTTTAGGTTTGGGGTTCCCTCATAGGCCTCTTTGAACCAAAAAGGTTTTAGGGTTTAGGGTTTAGGGTTCTTTTTTTTATTCCCAAGCCACTCGTGGGTCCAGGAAGGTATCCATCGAAGGGGCTGGGTATGATGTAGTGGCATCCGGGTCCGATACTATGTGATTATTTAGAGTGCTTCTGGGTTGCTTACAGTAAGCATCGGCGACAAGACTGGATGGGTTCTGTACCTATAAACCAATGATAACTGTACTTATTACTGTACTTATAACCATATTAGGGCACCTAAGGGGCTTATAAGTGGGTTATAAGTACAGTTATAATTGGTTAAGAAGTACCCTGAACCTCCAAGCAAAATCAAGCCCCAAGGCCCTGAGAAATCGGGAAACCCAAATCCTGAACCCTGAACACCTGAGTGTACCTAGTAGGGTTTTCTGTACCTGTGGGTGCTTTTGCCGCGATCCGCAGCGACGGGTCTGTCGTGGTGTGGGGCAGCCCTATGTTTGGCGGTGATGCTGCTCATGTTCAAGATCAGCTGAAGAATGTCCACCATATCCAGGCTACAGACAGCGCCTTTGCCGCGATCCTGCATGATGGCTCCGTGGTATCCTGGGGGGACCCCGAGGGGGCTGCCTGGGGAGATGCAGATGCTGGGGGCGACAGCTCCGCGGTACAAAGTCAGCTGACGGGCGTGCAGCTTCGTAGCCCAGTGGCACCCTTTTCCCTTTTTTTGGTTCAAGGCTCCCTGCCAAAGTAAGCAACCCCACGAAAGGTACCCTTCTTTTAGTGTGGGCTACCAAGGCAGCCTGCTAAAGTAAGCAAGCCCACAAAGGGTTTAGGGTTTAGGGTTTAGGGTTTAGGGTGGTTGCGGGGCCACCAAGGCAGCAAATCCAGGCCTCTCAGGCAGCTTTCGCTGCGATTCTTCGCGACGGGTCCGTGGTGACCTGGGGGGACGCCGGGAATGGCGGAGACAGCAGCGCAGCGCCTGGACCGCGTCTCAAAGTATCACAGTTTTTTCTCTCATGTGTGGCCATGCCTCGTTTCTGACACTCTTCAGCCTAGCGCAAGCAGAGTATAGCTGCCACGGAGTCCATTCTTCCTTTTGGGGGTTTAGGCTTAAGGGTTTAGTGTTTAGGGTTTAGGGTCTAGGGCCAAGAAGACAGCCAAGGTACAAAGTCAGCTCAGGGAGCCACGTGCTTCGAGGCTCCAGACGCCCCCGATGTCGAATGCTTACGTGACAAGATGATGTGCGCTGCCTAAACCCTAAACCCTAAACCCTAAACCCTCAACACGAAACCCTAAACCCTAAACCCTAAAAAACATCCCAAGACCTTGAGAAGTTCTCACTAAAGCTTACACCCACCCCCAAAAACGAAGGTTGGACCCAGAAAAAGCCCTTATTCCCCTTTTTTAGGGTTGGGGTTCCCTCATAGGCCTCTTTGAACCAAAAAGGGTTTAGGGTTTAGGGTTTAGGGTTTAGGGTTTAGGGTTTAGGGTTCTTTTTTTTATTCCCAAGCCACTCGTGGGTCCAGGAAGGTATCCGTCGAAGGGGCTGGGTATGATGTAGTGGCAGCCGGGTCCGATACTATGTGATTATTTAGAGTGCTTCTGGGTTGCTTACAGTAAGCATCGGCGACAAGACTGGATGGGTTCTGTACCTATAAACCAATGATAACTGTACTTATTACTGTACTTATAACCATATTAGGGCACCTAAGGGGCTTATAAGTGGGTTATAAGTACAGTTATAATTGGTTAAGAAGTACCCTGAACCTCCAAGCAAAATCAAGCCCCAAGGCCCTGAGAAATCGGGAAACCCAAATCCTGAACCCTGAACACCCCCTAAACCCTAAACCCTAAACCCTAAACCCTAAACCCTAAACCCTAAACCCCTAGGGTTTTCTGTACCTGTGGAATTCCATGGCTTTGGCAGTTAGGTTCAGGGTTCAAGGTTTCGAAAACATACTTCGTATCCCAGCAGTACCCTTTACCCTTTTGTTGGTTCATCGTTCCCTTATAAAGTAACCATCCCAACAAAGGGAACCCTTTGCTTTTAATATGATGACTGGGCTACCAAGCATATATCTGAGATAGATTCAACATACCCAACCAAAACCCATACCCCGTGACCTACACAAGGATAATATATGGAAGGGACTTTACCACACCGTGCCCCTTAGTGTCTTTAGAGGGTCTGCCCAAGGGGTATGTTGAATGTTTCTTAGAACAAATGCCCGGCAAGTACGGTATGCTGTTTCAGGGGGTATGCAGGCTACTCCCGGTAGGGACCCGGGCCAATGTACAAAGGAGGGACCCTCGGACCATGGGAAGAGCGGTTTCGGCCGGGTTTAGGGTTTGGCGTTTGGGGGTTTAGGGTTTAGGGTTTAGGGTTTGCAGTTTACGGTCCCGCGACTGCTCTACAAAGTAGCTCCGCTAAACCCTAAACCCTAGTCCGCATTTCCAAAATACGAGTAGGCCCTTGGTTCCTTTTGTATAAGGATCTGGGTTCCCTGATAATCCCCTTTAAACCAAACCAGGGCACCCTTTTCATGCCTAGGTTACTCCTGGGTCTAGAACATGGCCCAATATATAGGTTATCTACAAGGAGGGGCCCCCCTAGTCATCAGTAGAGTCTTAAGTGCCCTAAATTGGGTTGTATGGATCCTAAGTTAGGTTATAAGTCCCTTAACTATAGCTAGTATAGTAAGGGGGCCCCTGCTTGTAGAATATGGCCCAATGTGTAGATTATCTAAGGTTAGATTCATGGCCCTTAGGATGGTCCCTTTCCCTTGTTTAAAGGGGTTTAACGGGATCCGAAGTATGGGCCCTTATTCTGTATAGTGGTATAGTGTATATAAGGGCTAACAGGGGGACCCAAGTTCAAGGACCATGTTTCGGATCCCCTAATCCCCTATATGACCCTATAGTATATACCTTAGATAGTCCCTATATACCTAAGCAGCCCCTCAACAACCCCTAAGGTCTCTTATAAGGGTCCCTCCTTTAGTCCCTTGAAGTACGTTATTTTTGGTTTTCAATTGAGGTTAATTTCTATAGGGGGTCAACCCAGACTTGGTTCCCGGCGTGGGTGTTGGGGTGGCTAGGTTAGGGGTTTAGGGGTGTAGGGGTGTATAGGGGTGTATGGGGGTGTATAGGGGTGTATAGGGGTGTATAGGGGTGTATAGGGGTGTTTAGGGGTTTAGGGGTTTAGGGGTTAGGGTTTAGGGTTTTTAGGGTTTGTAGGGTTTAGGATAACATCCAATAAAGTTAAGTTATCTCACAAGTTAGCGCTGAAAAAAGGCCTCCAAGACTTTGCATTCTGAGAAACGAGCCCTGCATGGGACTGAGGCCGGCTACGTCGCGGAGCACAGTGCCTACCACCACGGCCCCTTGAGTGTTTCTAAGGGTAGTTATCCTGAGGGTTTAGGGTTTAGGGTTTGGGGTTTAGGGCTAGGAATAAGAAGGGTCGCGGATTCCGAAATTGGGGGTACCTTATTGGGGTCCCTATTTTCAGGAAATCCTACTATTTCAGGATTGTTTTTAAGGTCCTTTTGGGCCCTTAATTTGGTCCCTTCAAAGGGTTCTGAAGTATGGGCCCTGGGTTTGGTTTGGGTTTAGGAGGGGTATATAAGAGGTCCCCTTCAAAGGGCCCCTACTATGCGACCATAAAACTACCCTAAGGGTGTTGCAACGCTAGACCTTGATCGCTAAGCCATTAGCCCTAAACACCGAAACCCAGACCCCAAACCCCAAACCCTAAACCCCCAAACCCTAAACCCTAAACCCCAAACCCTAAGCCCT